TTGCATACCTGAGGATATACAGGTGATTTTCTGAAGGAATCTCAATCAACTCGGCAGCGCTCAATTCAGTGCATTGTATCTCTATTGATCAATGTGAACATTAATATAGTAGCAATAGCTTCACCATCTTCAAACTACCGGTGTCCTCAGTTTTGCCCAGTAACATGGTTATTTCTTTACATCATTAGATTCCCCAGATTCTCTACATTCAGAAATGTATATATGTTGTCGGGCGATTTTGCATACTTGAGGATATACAGGTGATTTTCTGAAGGAATCTATATTTATCTTCACGCAGTTGATCTTTGCAGACATACTGTCATTTGTATAAATCAGCTCTGCGCAATCGCATTTACAATCTTGAAAGTATTTTTCCAATTCAATATCTAATTTGTGCGCTTCCTCTTTCAGTAAACATCACTTGAAAGCAAAAACTTCACTGATTAAAAATTCTTGTTTGCTTAATTATTACTTTTCGTTCAACAATGGAAGTAAATTAGTTGACTGAATGCGGTTGCATTTGGTTTGAATGAAAAATTAAGAGGACTGAAATCAAAAGTCGAAAAAACAACTTCATCTTCACTCCGTCGTTCACTCATTTCACGTAAACAATTTGCTATTCAAATTAGCAGAGATAACAGTGTAAAGGTTGAAATGCACATTAAATGTAATATACATCATCGATGTTCCATGATATTATTTTCGACTGCAGAAAATTCATTTATAAACGATTACTTCTAGATTCACCGTACAGTTTCATTCATTTGGCCACTTGAAGACGCACAAAACTCAGTCGATTCTATCGAAACCTAAATCCTTAGTTTCGCTCAATTACGTTTTCATCTCGGCATGTATACTGATCAACCCATCCATAATATTTGTTGTTGTGCACTCGAATCGTTGAATTTCTCAATGTTGACCTGAATAATCCACTCCAGTTGGAGTTAACGGATTCGAATAAAGACCTGAAATAAAACAACGATATTATCTGAAATATTTCAGTTTCAAATTCTACCATCACAATGGCCAATTTGTTGCTTATAGCGATGGCGAGTAGCTTACTCATCATCTACTACATTATTCAACAGATGTTCTTAAGACGTCGTAACTACCCGCCTGGACCGAGACCGTTACCTTTAATCGGCAATTTTCATCAGGTTTTGTTAAATTAATTACTTACAACTTGACATTCAGACCTGAAACTGAGGAGAAGAATACAGCAATTCAGCAACTCTTTGATCTGTGTATGTTGAGATCCGCATCTCTGTCTTCACCGTTAAACGAAATGCCAAAAGCAGATAAATTTGCAGATAGATCTCGCATATCCACATCGCACAATGATGAAATGGAAACAACAATACGGTAACATATTCACCGTATGGCTTCCAAAACCAATAATTGTACTCGCTGATTTCAGCGTTTTCAAAGAAGCCCTAATCAACCAAGGTCAGTTCAACAACTGCCCATTCTAAGTTTGCGCCATCCTTTGGCAAGCAGTATGAATTTAATAATATTACCATCAGTTTAGTCATATATGCACCAGGCCCTATGGCTTTTAGGCAATTCACAAAACAAAACGTTTTATTTCAACTGAAAAAGGAATTAACACTTCAGTCACTTATCAAACAGTTTTAAAACTCAGTACTTGAACGATATTACTCTTAAATTATTCTTCGCCTCTAGATAATGGTTCGGAAATTAAATTCAGAACCTTGAGGGATTCAGAATTCTGTTTTGTCATTCAAAGTTTCTTCATTTAAGGTGATACATTTGCGGGTCGTCCAATGACATATTTGTACGGGATATTCACACATCACTGCAAGGATGGTGATGGCATAACGTTGAGTCAGAATGAAAAATGGCTTAATCAGAGACGTTTCGCGTTGAGAGTATTCCGTGATTTTGGTATGGGCAAAAAGGCGATGGAGACCAAAATTGACCATCATACTGATCAACTTATCGATCATATTCGTCG